TGTTTATAGTGTCTAGAGTCTAAACAGGTGAAATGATGCATTTTGGAGCAAAACCATAGGATTTGCACTTCAAGCCGCTCCATGCACAAGCACCAACTTTAAGAGGGCCCAGAAAAAGATCTACTCAATGGATTTCATCAAGACCAGTTCCCTGCGTGCTCTGATTGAGTTAACTTTCCAACGCAACTGGAATGGCATCATTTGGATGAGTAGAAAAGGAGTTATAGCCAAAAGAGTGAAGACTGTCCAGACGGCTCTATCGAGAATCAGCGCCCAAACCGCGCAGTCCGGCTGGCCGAGGAACGAATGTTCCGCGCTCGGCCAAACCGTATCCGTCCGACTGAAGTCTCGGCCAAAGTCCAAAACCACTCGGCCGATCACACAGCACGACCCGGGAAACATTGTCCCGCGGTCGGCCAAGCCAAACGCTCACGCCACCGCGCACGACCAAGCCGCGCGAGCCGGGAACAAGCCTCGCGGCCGCGCAACCCTCTCGCGTACCACGGCCGATGCATCCGTCCGAGCCGGGAAGAACGTCCCACGTCCGGCCGAGAATTCTCATCGGCCAATTCATCCGTCGACCACGCCGGCCGACCGCGAATCCGTCCGACCCCGACCGTTCCGACTCGCCCACGACCGACTGTCCGGCCGATCGTCCCGACCGACCGTCCCAACGCCGCGGTCGACCCGAAGCCCTTTTTGAAGCCCAAACTTATGTTTTCAAGCCCGGCTTAACCCTAAGCCGCCTCTAGAAAGACCTAGCACTATATATATGGATTTTTAGCCTCTTGAGAAAGAGAGCCGCCCTTGTATTTCGATTTCCTACTCTAAGTTTTATTGCAATCATGTTTTCTTCATCTCTATGTGTGTTTGCTTTGATCATGTCTGAGTAATCCACTAGTTAGGTTGCTAGGGTTACTATTCAATGAGTTGCTTGCATGATCTTTGATTTCAATGATTAGCTAGGGATTATATTAGAGTCTTTGTCTCGTCTTGTGCACTTAACTAATGCTGATTGCTTTACCGCGCATCTAGTAATCCGATCTTAGGTTGATTTGAGCCTCGACAGTGTGTATCATTCGCCGGACATATTCTTTGACAAGCTAGGTTTCTTAGACTGCGAAAGTTGATCTACTATAATCTAGTGAACTGTATCAGAACCTATTCATTCTAAAGCTTGATTTAATCACCTAGGGACATACCAAAAGTTTAGCGACTAGGTAGATTAACAAAGGAGCCGGAGCCTCGAAAGTGGAATGGTTTTATATTCGTGATCTGTGTTCTAGACGGTTCTTAATATCCCAATATCCCTAATCAATTAATCTATCATTGTTTCATTGATCATTGCTTGCTTCTCTGCGATAGCCCCTATGACCTAGCGCTTTTCCTTTATTGTTTACAACCTCGTTATACTTGCTAGTTCGGTTCACCATTACAACCTCAATCATACTTTTGTTTTAGCTTGATCCAAAATCCATAGTTTCAAAGTGTACTCAATAGCCAGTCCTTGTGTTCGATACCCATACTTCCGCGATCTGTGCACTTGCAGAGGTCTAGGAGTTTGGTAAAACCTGACTCCGCATCAAGCCTCCTAGGAAATGACACCGGGTCCATACTAGAAACACAGTAAACAGAGGATAAATAAGAAGTCTATAAATGAAGGCTAACTAAGAAGTCTAACTAAGAAGTCTAACTAAGAAGTCGAAACCATAATTCCAATAAGTCAAACTGAAAAGCCTAACAAAGAAGTCTATATTTTAAGTCAGTGACAAAGTCCATCTAAACCCTAGTTTCAAACGCACCGCCGCGTAAGCACGGCTAATAGGACAATTAATGTACACAATTTTACCTTATTATTAGCGGTTATGAGGGCCAGTAACGGCGGCGGTTAGGAACGAGTCTATTAAATCTGCCAACATAGACCTGCGAAAGATCTACAACCGTTTAGGCGACGGTTTGAGGGGGGTAAAGAGAGAGCCAATAGTGGAAGGGGGATAGCTCACCGGCGTTGAGAGAGAGAGAGAATAAGTTGTGCGATACAACAGCGGCAACCACGGACAGCGGCAACGAAGGCGGCGAAAAGGTCCATAAAAAAGGAAACAGAGTGAGTATGAGGGAAATACAGACGCGTATATAGATTGATAGATGAGTATGACTTACAGAAGTATACTTCAGCGGAGGAAGAAGAAACGGCGGCGGCGACGATGATGGCTCTTTCTGGATTCGACGGCGACGGTAGGCGAAGAACATGCAATCGCCTGAAACAGAGAGAACGGAACGGGAACGGCGGTTGTGAAAGTGAAAGTGAAATGTGAACTTAGTTTACCCTAATTTTGGGTTTGTAAAATTGTGATTACTGGTTACAACTTCCGATTATGTCCGGTTCAGTTTGGTTAAATCCAATTCGCACAAACATTTCGGTCCAGTTTAAAATTCGGACTTCGAATAAAGCCCAAACAACAAAGTCTACTTGGGAAGTATAATAGAAAAAGGAAATTTGTCCGCGTATATTTCCGATTGCCGCCCAAAATATTTCCGGTTCTCGCCCAAACTATTTCGTTTCCCGCTCGCTTTTTGAGTTACAAACTTCTCAGAAAAGTCTACCCCTGAATTCTACCAGTGAAGTCTGACTTACCCTAAACCCTAAAACAAATTTTTAAGATCAAAACTATAGGAAACGTTAATTATGTATACATAATCACGATTTACATTAGAAACTACAAATTGGTAAGATTTAAATCGTTAAACGAACCCCAAAATTTTTTTTGGTCAAAACTATCAGAACCCTAACAATGCTCATGATAAACCCTATACAATATACCTCAACACTAACATGTTGATTTGTTTACTCATGAAACTTATAAATTGATTCATTTTCAAGAAATTTTATTTTCCATAGGTAGGACATGTCTTCATTTAAATTATGTATAACTTTTTTTATCAAAATTGTTTTTCTTATATTTTAAACTTTAAATTTTAGATTTTGGTATTAAGCAAACTTCATCCCTTTTTTTGGGAATTTTATCATAATTTGTCTTACTTGATCTAAACTGATCGGTTTACATGCAGATTTATTTTTCATGGATACTAAATGTCTATGTTAAAGTTATGTGTAAATTTATTTACAAAAATATTTTTTAATACATTTTAAAATTTAAATTTAAGATTGTACTAAATAATAGACTTCGAGGGTAGACTTCACACAATTCAGAGATTACAAACCAAACTAATCTTAGTTCACTTAAATTGATTCATTTATATGCAATTTGATTTTTAATGGATGACAAATGTTTTCATCTTATTTATGTATAATTATTTTTGATCCAATTATTTTTCGTTAATTGTATAATTTAAATTTAAGTTGTGATTAGGGGTTAGAGTTCATGATGAAGTCTACGATGTAGTAGAGTTCATGATTAGACTTTAAATAGGGTAAAACAGACATTATGGCTCTCGTTTTTTTGTTTGTTCATAAGGGTGGGTTTTGTAATTTGCCATGGCCAGAAGACTAGTTTTGACATAAGTGCAATAAGGGTCTACTTTTGCATTTCAAAGCAAATTGTGTACTATATTGAGCAATTCCCCCTTATTTGACACTTTATAAGTGAAACACACATGATTTCTTGTAGTGATAGATGTCAAGAATGGAAAGATTGACTTGCATCTTGGAGATATAGTGATGAATTTCGAGGTAAACAAGTCCATGGAGAAACCAACTGTAGATGGTCAAGCTTTTTGGATTGGAGAGCTCGCAGAGACAAGAGAAGAAGTGCTGGATGAACTCCTTCTTATTGATCCCTTGGAGCTAGCTTTGACAAAGCTGAGAATGAGTATGGATACATGGAAAGAGAAGCTCAATGCTTAGTCAAGTTCATGGATTCCAAGGAAGCTTATAAAGAGCTGATAGCTTATATGGACTTAGAGAGAGAAGAGGAAGAGCCAGACATTGACAAGGTCAGGAAATATCACAAACCAAAGTTAAGTTCGACCCATGGTGCCCACTTAGAGCTCCAAAAGCCGAGCTCAAACAACTCCCAGTTGGTCTAAGGTATGAATATCTTGGTCCTAATGAAACATATCCTGTTATTGTTAATGCTGCACTAACAAAAGAAGAGACCGCTTTACTTGTTCGCGAACTGAGAAAGCATAGAAAGGCTCTTGGTTACTCTTTGGATGATTTAACAGGAATCTCACCTGAACTATGCACACATCGCATCATCCTGGAGGATGAGTCTAGTTCTTCAATTGAACATCAAAGGAGGCTAAACCCAAACCTAAAGGAAGTTGTCAAGAAGGAGATAATGAAGCTATTGAAAGCTGGAGTGATTTATCCAATATCAGATAGTGCATGGGTCAGCCCTGTACATGTCGTGCCAAAGAAAGGAGGGATCACAGTCATCAAGAATGAACATGATGAGCTCATTCCAACAAGAACAATCACTGGACACAGAATGTGTGTCGACTACAGGAAAGCTGAACTCCTCCACGCGCAAGGACCACTACCCCTTGCCATTCATAGACCAGATGCTTGAGCGCCTTGCCAATCATCAATACTACTGTTTCTTGGATGGATACTCAGGATTTTTCCAAATTCCAATCCACCCAGATGATCAGGAGAAGACTACATTCACTTGTCCCTATGGCACATATGCTTATAGGAGAATGCCTTTTGGATTGTGCAATGCTCCAGCTACATTCCAAAGGTGTATGATGTCCATATTCACAGATCTAATAGAAGAGATTATGGAGGTTTTCATGGATGATTTCTCAGTATATGGTTCTTCCTTTGAATCATGTTTGGGAAATCTTGGAAGAGTGCTACAGAGATGTGAAGACAAGCACCTAGTTCTAAATTGGGAGAAGTGCCACTTTATGGTTAGAGATGGAATAGTGCTTGGACATAGAATCTCAGAGAGAGGCATAGAAGTTGACAAGGCCAAGATTGAAGTCATGACAAACCTTCAGCCGCCCAAGACAGTTAAAGATATCAGAAGCTTCCTAGGACATGCTGGGTTCTACAGGAGGTTCATTAAAGATTTCTCACAGATAGCAAGGCCGCTAACACGCCTATTATGCAAGGATATTAACTTTGAGTTCACAGAGGAGTGTCACAAGGCTTTCACTAAGATCAAGGATGCATTGGTCAGTGCGCCAGTGGTTCAACCTCCAAACTGGGAACTACCTTTTGAGATAATGTGTGATGCAAGTGATTATGCAGTAGGAGCAGTGCTTGGACAAAGAAAAGACAAGAAGCTACATGTGATCTATTATGCCAGCAGAACGCTTGATGAGGCACAATGCAAGTATGCCACAACAGAAAAGGAGCTTCTAGCTATTGTCTTTGCATTTGAAAAGTTTCGATCATACTTGGTGGGATCGAAAGTTATAGTTCATTCTGATCATGCAGCATTAAGGTATCTCTTATCTAAGAAAGATGCCAAGCCAAGATTGCTGAGATGGATACTACTATTGCAAGAATTTGATCTTGAGATCAAAGATAGAAGAGGAGCAGATAATGGAGTAGCTGATCACCTTTCAAGGATGAGAGTTGAAGAAAATCTACCTCTTGATGATAGGCTACCTGAAGAAACAGTTTATGCAGCTGAAGCTAGCAATAAGCATGGACAACTAAGCCATCACAGGCCAGGAACAAAGATCTCATCATCAAACACACCATGGTTTCGCCACATAGCAAACTTCCTTGCAGCTGAATACCCACCACCAAACTTCTTTGGCTACAGAAAGAAGAAATTTCTGCGTGATGTAAGAAGGTACTACTGGGATGAACCTTACTTATACAAGAAATGTTCAGATGGAATGTTTAGAAGATGCATACCCTGAGGAAGAAGTAGAAGGAATATTGTTTGCTTGTCATAGTTCTAGTTATGCAGGCCACTTTGCCACTTACAAGACAGTATCCAAGGTCCTACAAGCTGGATTTTGGTGGCCAACAATGTTTAAGGATGCTCATGCATTCATATCAAGATGTGATGCTTGCCAAAGAATGGGAAATATAAGCAAGAGGAATGAGATGCCACAGAACTTTATACTAGAAGTTGAAGTTTTTGATGTTTGGGGCATTGACTTTATGGGACCCTTCCCAACCTCTTTTGGTGACCAATACATTCTAGTGGCAGTTGATTATGTCTCCAAATGGGTGGAAGCCATTGCCAGCCCTACTAATGATGCACAAGTGGTCATCAAGATGTTTAAATCCATCATTTTTCCAAGGTTTGGAGTGCCTAGGATAGTCATAAGTGATGGAGGTTCACATTTCATAAACAGAATCTTTGCCAACCTTTTGAAGAAGCATGGAGTCACTCACAAAGTTGCCTCTCCTTACCACCCTCAAACTAGTGGACAAGTTGAGATCTCAAACAGAGAACTCAAGAGCATACTTCAGAAGACAACAGGCAAGACAAGAAAGGATTGGAGTGCCAAACTAGATGATGCTCTATGGGCATACCGCACTGCCTTCAAAACACCACTTGGTACCACCCCCTTTCATCTTGTTTATGGTAAAGCATGTCATTTACCTGTAGAGCTGGAGTACAAAGCAGCTTGGGCTATTAAGGAGTTGAACTTCAACCTAAAGACAGCAGGAGAAAGAAGATTGATTCAGCTAAATGAGCTTGATGAGATTAGGCATCTAGCTTATGAGAATTCAAAGATCTATAAGGAGAGAACCAAAGCTTTCCATGACCGCAAGATCATCCCAAAGAACTTCGCGCCAAACGACCAAGTTCTACTATTCAACTCAAGGTTGAAACTCTTTCCAGGAAAGCTTCGCTCAAGATGGTCAGGACCATTCAGGATTAAAGAAGTTCGCCCCTATGGAGCAGTGGTACTATGGGACCCAATGGGAGGAGACTTTACAGTCAATGGACAAAGGTTAAAACCTTACCTAGCTTCCACCACCATACCACAGGAGACCACACTGGCTCTTGGCGATCCACCAGATCCTTAAGGAAGTGCCATACAGTCAAGCTAATGACTTTAAACAAAGCGCTGAATGGGAGGCAACCCATTGAAGGTCATTTCTTTTCATTTTCTTTCTTTAATTTTCTTTTGTTTTGAATATTACCTCTCACCTTAATGTGATTTGCTTTCACCGGGACGGTGCAAGTTAAGTCTGGGGGGAGTTTTATTGTGTTACTAATGCATTTTTCTTTCTTTTCTTATGTTTTATTACTTTGTTTCATGTTTTTCAAAAAGTTTTATTGAGTCAAAAACCAGTCCGGAAGTTATGAACTTGCTTTGAGAATTGAGAGTGTTGTGCTAACAATCCATGACCCTAGAGCAGAAACCAGCTAAAGGCACAAGCCTAACAGAAGCTCTTACAGTGGATCGACATGCTAGCTCAGCAAAATTTCTAAGGTAACCAAGCAATCTAGAGTTAACCTCACCCTTAATCAATCTTAATTACTCTTGTCAAGGGGGTTGGCATACATGTCGACAGTTCCTTGCTTGATTTTCAATAAGATTTGTCTAATCTTTAAAGAGTTCTCCTCTCTCTCCCATCCCAAATGGTAAGTAATGTTTATGAGAAAAAGCTCAAAGAGCACAAGGAAAACAAGTAAGCATGAGGAATGCATATGTCTGTACCTTCATGTCTTATGGAATACCTTAGTCAAACAAGGAACAAGCTAAAGACTTATCCTGTGGTTGAAAGAAGGGTCAATAGAAAAAATAAAATGATACCCTAGAAAAGTAGGGATAAATTGACCTTTCAAAGTTCTGATGTGAGAAAGAGAGAGGAAAAGAACTCATTGCACTTGAAAGACAATCTTGGAGAAGATCAAGTGGGTAAGAACAAGTTCAATTGATCGATGTCCCCTTGATAAAGAATTCACGCTTTAAATTTATGCAAGAGGTTAGCAATAGAGAGTTTGGATTGCTGGATGAGACTAGTTGGGTTGGTATTGTTCGCTAAACTTGCAGGGTGTATGTGAAGCTAACCTTATGTTGTCTATGTTCATAGTGGAATACAGGAAAGGAACCTTTCACAGGATATTCAAAAGAGCAAGGGAGCTTCCACGTTTTCAAACCTCTTTCACGGATTTAGATTCTTTTTGCTTGAGGACAAGCAAAGATCTAAGTCTGGGGGAGTTGATATACCTCTATTTTACATGCTTTTTATACTGTTTTAGCATTGTTTTCTAATGGTTTTTGGCAGGTTTTCTATCTAAAAAGGTAGTTTTACTGTGTTTATAGTGTCTAGAGTCTAAACAGGTGAAATGATGCATTTTGGAGCAAAACCATAGGATTTGCACTTCAAGCCGCTCCATGCACAAGCACCAACTTTAAGAGGGCCCAGAAAAAGATCTACTCAATGGATTTCATCAAGACCAGTTCCCTGCGTGCTCTGATTGAGTTAACTTTCCAACGCAACTGGAACGGCCTAATTTGGATGAGTAGAAAAGGAGTTATAACCAAAAGAGTGAAGACTGTCCAGACGGCTCTATCGAGAATCAGCGCCCAACCGCGCAGTCCGGCTGGCCGAGAAACTATTGTTTCACGCTCGGCCAAATCATATCCGTCCGTCTGAAGTCTCGGCCAAAGTTCAAACCGACCGGCCGATCACGCAATCACGACCCGGGAAACATTGCCCGCGGTCGGCCAAGTTACAACCGTCACGCCACGCCGCGCACGACCATGCCGCGCGAGCCGGGAACAAAGCCTCGCGGCCGCGCAACCCTTCGCGTACCACGGCCGATGCATCCGTCCGAGCCGGGAAAGAACGTCCCACGTCCGGCCGAGAAACCATCGGCCAAATCTTTCCGTCCGACCACGCCGGCCGACCGTGAATCATCCGGCCACGACCGTTCCGACTCGGCCACGACCCGACTGTCCGGCCGATCGTCCCGACCGACCGTCCCAACGCCGCGGTCGACCCGAAGCCCGTTTTGAAGCCCGATTTCATATTTTCAAGGCCCGGCTTAACCCTAAGCCGCCTCAAAAGACCTAGCACTATATATATAGCTTTTTAGCCTCTTGTGAAAAGAGAGCCGCCCTTGTATTTCGATTTCATACTTGAGTTTTATTGCAATCATGTTTTCTTCATCTTTGTGTTTTGCTTTGATTATGTCTGAGTAATTCACTAGTTAGGTTGTGAGATCTATCAAAGAGTTCATGGTTTGATAGGTTGTTAGAAGCTAGGGTTTATCATATCGCATCTTCGCCTCTGCTTGAATTCATTGCTGCTTGCTTTTCTGATCAACTAGCATCAGATCTTAGGTTTCATATACTCTCCAAAAGCTTGCTATATAACCTGAACTAAGTATTTGGTGAGCAAAACTTCATAGACTGCGAAAGTTGATCTATGCGGGGTTGTGAACAATTGGGTCTTGAACGAACTATTGCTTGATTTAATCACCTAGGGACATACCAAAAGTTTAGCGACTAGGTAGATTAACAAAGGGGTCGGAGCCTCGACAGTGGAAAGATCATACAATCGTGACCTGAGTTCTAGATAGCGCAAACCCTAGCGAACCTTCTAATATCTTGTTAACCTTGAATCTCTGCGAGTTTCTCATTGCCTAGCGTTTCCCTCTATTGATTTTCATAAACCGTTTAATCTGCTGTTTGATTTACTTGTTACACAATAAAACCCTAAATCATACTTGTTTTCTAGCTATATTAGACTTGCAATACTCGAAGTGTACTTATCTGCTCCTTGTGTTCGATACCCGTTTACTACTTTTGATCTGTGCACTTGCAGAATCAGGGATAGGAAAAGGGAAGACCTGATCCCGCGATCACAACTCGAGCTCGATCGAGTTGGGTGTCAAAAACCAGAAAAGTGGTAAAAGTTGGGAAAATCCAAAGGAAAAAGAGTTTAGTTAAGTCCAGGGAGTTGGCAGTGCTAAAAAGGGTCTAGTAAAGGTTTGGGAAGTTTAAAAAGGAAGTAAAAAGGGTTCTAAGTAGAAGAAAAGAAGGCAAAGCCTCAAGTGTCAAAAAGGAAAGAAAAGTTCCCTAAGTGTTTAGAAAATCCCAAACCGCTAGATGTTACCTCAAGAAGCCTCTCCCTAGGAAGTTCTTAAAAGAAAAGTGAGCAAAGCTCCTCAGTTTCAAAGGCGAAATGCCAAAAAGGGTAGTTAGGATTTTGTTCTAAAAAGCTCTAAGTGTTGAACTCGATCGAGTTAGGATTAGACGGCTCGAGCTGCTGTTCTTGCACCATCTTTGGTTCTAACACTTAGCCTTCTGCCAAAGCAAAGCCACTTTCTTGAGAGATCCCTGTTACTAAACCACCATACAAAAGAGACCCTCTTTGTCTCTTAACCCATAAACCCTTGAAACCAAATGAGTTGATTGATCTTGCATGTTTTTGGTTCACTGTTTTTGCTTAATGAATGTTAAAGGGATTTGCTGATTTGAATGCATTGTTTGAGTGACTGTGAAGTGGGATTGATGTTGATAAGCATGGTTAAATCTTAAATGAATATCTCTCACCTTGTTGCATTCTAGAATCTCTAAGTTGGACATTTAGCAAATCGCTTTTGAGGACATGTTTTTAAGTGTTGAATCAACTTGTTTTCAAACCTCATCTCTTTCTTGTTCTATTTGTTTGCTTGAGGGCAAGCAAAGGTCAAGTTTGGGGGTGTTGATGTACTTGCATTTTGCATAGTTTTAGTACATCTTTTATGCATCTTTTGCATAGTTTTAGCATCCATTAGCATCATATCTTGTTCCTTTTCTCTTCTTATGCATTCATAGTAGTTTTAGGTTGCATTTGCATACATATGCATGTTTGGTCCTTTGAAATAGGTCTTTTGGAGCATTCTGGAGCATATGGGACGTGAGGAGCATGGAAGGACTTGGTGCATGGACGCAGCTCAACTGGATACGCAAAGGAAGAAGGAGGAAGCCATCTTGAAGACCAGCTCGACCACCACTCGACCAACCGGTCGAGTTCCTCAACTCGACCGGCCAAGCTTCAACTCGATCGAGCTGAGAAGTCAAAGTCAAACCCGAAAAATGTTGCTTCCCCCTTGACTTTCCTTTGACCCTAAACCTAAATCCTCTTGTATTTAAAGGCTAAAAGCCACGAAAAAACCACCAAGCTTTAGATTACTTTTGTTTTAGTTTCTTTTAATTATTGTCTTTTACTTTTTAGAGCTCTAATCCCATCTTTGTGTTCTTGAAGCTCTTGCTTCTTGAATCCTAGATCCTGGATAATCTCTTTTGTATTTGCACTTGCTTATTTCAATAAAAGTTGTTTATCTTTATCTCCTCTTTCATTTGATGTTCTATTTCATTGCATTTGTTGTTTACATTCATGTGTAGTGAGTAGTTACCCATTAGGGTTTGAGATGGGATAGATTAGAGGATTTTATGCTTAATCCTTCTTGCTTATGTCTTAATCTAGAAATCTCTCTCTTTTGGAAACCTTAAGGCTACATGACCACTACCCCTGGCTTGTATGTCCATAGGCGATTCTCCACATGGAAGTGATGGAAATCGTTGGAAAAGGTCCACTAAGAGCTCCAATAACTCTTGCTCTCGAAATGGAGTTCATAGGGGTTGGATGGATTAGTTTGAGCAATGATCCTATGGCCTCCAAGGCTTGATTCTCACTGGCTAACCCCCTGTTTCTGAGATCAAGTCCTTGGTTGATAGCTTTCACCTTGGGAAAGGGTTAGCTAGGCATTGAGAAGCTCAATATCAAGAGATACCTTGATACAAGTGTTTAAGAGCAAGATCGATTAAGTATAGCTTCCTCTGATTGAAACCCTGTCTTAGACCCTAATTCTCGCATTAGCTTGTTAAAGTCGCTGCCTTTAGCTTTTCTTCAACTCGACCCTAAACTCGATCGAGCTCGGTACTCTGTTCCCACTCGACTCGAGTCCTTGGTCGAGCTGTTGCTCTACTGCTTTATTTACTTACTGCATTTCATTTCTGTTTCATTTAGGTTGTTAGTGTTACCCCATATCATTTACTGCTTGCTTGACTTCCTTGTTTTTCATATTCTCATAGAGTGACATCTTCACCCATTTTGGATTGATACCCTTTATGCTATAACGTCTATAATGGTTAAAGGGAATTGTTGACTGTGTTTGTGTTTGCATCTTACCACCTCATCATATACCACTGTTGCATTCCACCACATCTCATTTCATATCTTTCACACCCACACACAAATCCTATCATCAGTTTTGCAAAAAGTAAAGTTACAAAAATTAAAGAAAAGCAAAATGAAATTAAGCTAAAGGAGATTGTCTTTTTTCGTGGTTACAAGCCCTTAAATATAAAAGAGATTTGGTTTAGGGTCAAAGGGGAGTCAAAGGGAAGCAACATTTTATGGGTTTGACCATTGACTCTGCAGCTCGATCGAGTTGGAACTTAGCCGGTCGAGTTCCTTAACTTGACCGGTTGGTCGAGTAGATGGGTCGAGCTGACTCCAAGGCGGCTTCCTTCTTCATCCTTCCTTGCTCCTCACGTCCCAGTTGCTCCAAAGTGCTCCAAATAGACCTAATTAAGGATCAAACATGCACATGTATGCAAATGCTACCTAAAAGTACTATGAATGCATAAGAAGGGAAAAGGACTGGTTTTAGATGCTAATGGATGCTAAAACCATGCAAAAGATACATAAAAGATGTACTAAAACTATGCAAAATGCAAGTACATCAGGCAGCCTATGGGTGGAAGACTACTACCAAGACATGGAAAACCTTAATGCTAAGAGCTAACATTCTGGAGGACAAAGAGGCGACTATGTCAAGGTTCTTAGGCGGTCTAAACCGTTAGATACAAGATCGTGTTGAAATGCAACACTATGAGGAGTTAGAAGAAATGTTACACAAGGCTATTCTTGTGGAACAGTGAGTGAAAAGGAAGGGAACTTCAAGGCCGAGTTATGGAGATGAGGCAGGCAGGTCTAGTTACCAAAGGAAAGGCAGATCATCCGCTCTGCCTAAGCCAGACATTAAACCAGTCCCAAGCCTACCGGAGAAAGAAAGAAGCAAGACCTAAGGAACCACCTTTACCCGGACCCGAGATCTTAGGTGTTTCAAGTGCCATGGACATGGGCACTATGCCAATGAGTGTACTAATAAGAGATTGATGGTCATTAGGGAGAATGGGAAAATAGAGTCTGAAGACGAGCCCATACAGAAACACGACTCATTTTCTGAAGAGTATGTGGCTATGCCGGTTAGCGGGAAACTTTTGATGTCAGGGAAGGTCTCCTGGGAACAAGATCAGGGAGAGGAACAAGACGAAATGTCATCCCCTGATGAGTATGAGGAGAGACCTGGAGGACTGTATCCGGCTAGAAGAATCCTAAGTCTCCAAACCAGTACAAAGGAGGAAGAACAAAGAGAGAATCTCTTTCATACTCGATGTCTTGTCCAAGACAAGGTTTGCAGCATGATCATAGACGGAGGTAGCTGTACCAACGTGGCTAGTGAAACCATGGTCAAGAATCTTGGTCTTAAACCACAGAATCATCCCGAACCATACAAGCTTCAATGGTTGAATGATGTTGGCGAGATGAAAGTTAAAAGTCAAGTGGTTGTGCCGTTGGCCATTGTGAACTATGAAGATAAGATCCTATGTGATGCTGGACATATCTTGCTAGGAAGGCCATGGCAATCTGACAGAAGGGTTATCCATGATGGTTTCATAAATCGCTATTCATTTCTATTCAAAGGCAAGAAGACTACTGTTATCCCTTTGACACCTCAAGAGGTTTATGAGGACCAAATCCAACTCTCAGGCAAGGATACCAGGTTAGACAATCAACCCAATTTCTTTATTACGTCTAACAAGGTTAAGCAAGCTCTGTTCTCTAAACGACCTATTCTTTTATTTGTTTATAATGAAACACTAACTAGCTTAGCTAACCTTGCACCGGTTGTTCCGAGTGAGATGAGTCATCTTTTGCAGGACTTGAAGGATGTATTTCCAGAGGACAATCCCATAGGTTTAACTCCTGCCCGTGGCATTGAACATCAGATTGGTTTCGTTCCTGGAGCCACACTCCCAAACCGTCCAGCATACTGCACCAATCCGGTGGAAACAAAAGTGTTACAGCGCCAAGTTGATGAGCTCATGGAGAAAGGCCATATCAGAAAGACGGCAGCTGGCGCATGTGTCTCAATTGTCGAGCAATCAACAATATCACTGTAAAGTATCACCATCCCATTCCTAGATTAGATGATATGCTTGATGAAATT